ACTTGAACCTATATGGGATACGATATGCATAGTAAAGACTAACTTTATTTATTCATATTGGATTCAATTTCAAGGGCAGAATACATGCTGTATAATTTTGTTAGGAATGGTGTGTTGCAAAACTAACCCATGACGCACTATCTAGGGATGGGTAACGTCTTCTAAATGAGCAGACGAATTTGTTTACAAGGCATTATCAATTAAAAAATAGTTTATTATCAATAGAGGATATGCGCAAAATTACAAAAAAAAATGGAGATTTTCTTTCAGTTCGATTCTATAACATGAAAATAGACATCGATGGGAAGCTATTCCTAATAATATTTAACAGGGAATTTGGTGCCCATTTTGCCCGAAATACAAAATATCTTGGGACTTCCTTCACAGACTTGAATTCTTCAAACACGAATATTTGAACGGACTGGATATATATTATCATAATATAAGTACAAGGTGTATAACATGCAAATTCTTTCAGAGATTAAAATAACTTCATCAAACAAGGGCAGAATTGGATTACGAAGTCCCATATGTAGTTCTAGTAGTATATCTTCGAAAATTGGGTTTATTAAAATGCGTGCATTTTTTTTCAATCAATAAAACAAATCCCGTAGCACATTATTTTCTGATATAAGTTTAAGTTTATGTGAAGGTTAAAATGCAAACTACATTGTATTATATTATATTATATATCGCATTGAATTTCCTTTGTATGTCAACGTAAAATTTAGCTAAAGCAGCAATTTATTAAAGTTAATCAGTTTAAAAAATAGATGTAGATCGAAACTAAAAGCTTTAGCTAGTTCGTGCTTTCTTCTTGGTGGATGAATAGATAGTCCGCGTGGTCATTTTTTGACTAGCCTTGTTCTTTTCATTCACATCATCATCATCGCACCATAAAAAATCTTGGATGGATTCGGAACTTACGGATAATAAACGCTAGTTATATAAATGTTAGTTCTACATATATATAATATATATATATATTCGAATCATTTACACAAACCTCGTATTTTAATAGACCAGTCACTATCTCATATGACTGCTTCATATCTTTCCATGATTTCGGAAAAGGAATTTTCAATACTTCCACCATTGTATATACTTCAGCATATTTAAGACGGAATTCATAGATAGTTAACTGATTCACTATAAAGACCGAGAGTTAAGTGTTAATAATATAAAATAAAAAGTGGTCAAATAAATAAGGACTTACAATAAGATTGCATGGCGTAAAGTTTAAGCATTCTTATGTCGGAATTCGGGCAAATTTCTGCCAATCGATTCATTAATGACTTCATCATTTTTATGATTTTCATTCGATCTCCTTTGAAATGAGTCCAATCTGATTTTAACGGAGGCCCACTAACTTCAATGACAGAAAACTCTTCGTCTTCCTCTTTTAGAGCAATTATTGCGTCAATTCTTTTTCCGGGAGATCTACGATTATCATACTCCTGATCGTTGTATCCTTTAGCACTTGCTTTAAGACAAGTCTCCCCATATTTAGCGCGCCAATTTCCTTTGTGTTTTATAAAAAGTTGATCCAAAATTGGACCTAAAACACTAATTATGTAGGTTTCTTCTGACATCGGTTCTAAAAGTAAATTTTCCCCTTCAATTAACTTTATCCTATATAAATAATAATTGGTCTTAATTTGTTAGAGATTAAGAATAAATGTAAATGAATAAACAATTCTTACATATGCTCTACGAAATTCAATGCGAAAACTCTTCCAAAAGAATTATTGCGATTTTTATATTGCTGAAGCGTATCTTTGGCCTTATTTATATCACGCACAATAATCTTTGTTATTAATGATTTGATCTCTTGTTCATCTTCAGTTTCTATTTCATCTTCACTTATGTCTTTAAGCATTTGTTGAACCGTATCGTTTTCCAGTGTTTCTAGAAAACTATTTTTATCCTTAGCATTGAAAAAAATAACGTCATAATACTCGGGTTTTGTTTTCAGCAGATTTCTTTCCATTTGATATTCGGTTAATTTTTTTCGAATATCTAAACCATTAACAATCCAAGAAACATTCCTCCCACCAATAATGGTTTGGTCCGCTTCATATTCATCATCGGTATCGTCTTCTTCAGGCTCACGGTCATGTTTTCTCCCTTGTGGATAGGAAATAAAGGGATTCGGTTTAAGTTGCTTATGTGGTGTAATTTCATGGAATGAAGGCGAATTAAAATATATATGTATATATAAAATCAGAAATCAAAGTTAATATGTGAGTTCTGGAAAAAAATACGAGAACGTTTAAAAACTAACCTTGACAGAGCTTAGTTCTCTTTCCCTATTTTTGACTGCTAAATTAGCAAGGTCACTTTCAATCTTGTCCCAAAAAAACATGACTTCTTTATAAGATTCGCGATGAAACTTTATAAAGTTAATAAAAAGAATTAGTGTACCAACTTTATTTTTTTCAACCATAAAATCACAATATACAAACAAAAATAAAACGGACAACAAGTCTCTCACAACACCTTCCCAATAAGAAAAATATTACCTTAAATATTCGCTTCATCTTGATAGCACTATTTTTACTCTCCTCCGAACCAACCTCTATTATAATGTCTAAATCCTTTCGAAGTTTATCAGCCTCTCTTCGAAAGGAGAAAGTAAAATCTTTTTCCCTACTACGGTATTGATAATAATCGGCAAAGCAATAATTATTAGGCATCGTTTCTTTGAAATAACCAGAGTAGGTATCCATCGCGTCTAACAGATTGAAAACGGAAAAAAAAACGCGACTGATAAATAAACCTAGTTATATGACACAATCACGAGAGTTGAGTCGCACAACATAAAACACGTGACAAATACGGTAATGATATGCCTGGGCCGGATCATTTGTATCGGTATAAAAATAGACTTTTTACTATATATTATAATAAACGGATAAACAAAATTATATTGTTTAAATATTATTTGAAAAAAAAACTCTTTTCCACTTTCCTCCCTACACTTGAAAATTTTCTAAAAAGGAAATTTTTAAGTTGTTTTCTTTTTTTGCTTCTTCTCTTTTTTTAATACTGTTTTTTTTTTCTATTATTTTTTTCTTTTCTCTTTTTTTTTTTCTTCCTCTTTCTTCTACAAATCTTTTTTAATATATATTATACATGTTGCTGAAATTCGTAGATCCTTGACGCAATTGATGCAATTATTTGATACAATTAATTGAGTCACTATTAAAACATATAAATAATTGAATCATGACGCAATTATTTTTGAGAATTTTGGGAATTAAGTTAACAACAAAATAATTTATGTCACATGTATAATGTATATTCTCTCACTTTTCTCTTTTTTCTACTTACTGCTGAAGTTAGGTTTTTTGTTTCTCTCTGAAGTTTTTTTTCTCTAGGTTTCTCTTTCTCTTAAAATTGTCACTTTCTATTTTATTACCTTTCTGGTTAGTTGACTCTTTTCTCTTAAGAATCATATTATCATATGTCAATCCAACCTATGGTTCCGAAAATTGGAATCGAATAGAATCGAACAGAATCGCATAAGATTCGGAATACTATTAAAAATGATGGTGGGGTATACCCTATCTATTAAATTTAATATAAACTTGAGAATCGAATACAGAATCAAAGAGAATCATTAAGATCCTTAATCCAACCTTAAAGATCAGTATAGGATGAAGAACTGATAACAGGAAAACATTTTGAATAGCAAAAGCCAATGTGGTATGTTATAGTTCATAGAGAAGATACTTGAAATTTCAAAAATTATAAGTAGGGCTCCTAATGATATCACTTCGATATCACTTCGATACCAGTTCGATACTTAAATTTATTATAAAAACATATGAATAAGTTACAACTCATATATTAAATTTACTATAGATCGGTATTATTTTGATATCAGTTCGATACTAGTTCGATACTTTTTCGGAGTCCTAATTATAAGACAAGTGATGTAATAATTATAATTGTATAAAGACAAATATAATTGTGATAATTTGTAAAAAACAGTTTATTATCAAAATATTATTACACTTCTAATTTTATCAATTCCACCTTTAATTTTTCTACAAATCTCTCTCTATTTTCTTTACAACTTTTTTACAATTTCTCTATTATTTTCTTGTTATATACAAAATACATAATTATTCTATTTAGAGTAACAAATAATACAAATATGGAAAAGTTAATGAAAGGCAAATTTGTAACATGTTTCTCAAGCTTTTGTATTCATAATTTAGAAAATTATTACTTGTTCATATAATATAACAATATATTTTAATTGGATACTATAATCATTTGATCAAATCCTTAATTATCGCAAAATCAGTAACTGAAACCTTTTTTCGAGTTTCAAGTAAAGTTGTTCAGCAGATAAAAATACTATAGGTCTATTATTAGTGAATTAATATGTTAAATCAATGTTTGGTGTGAAATTTTCTATTTCGGAAAAATTAAACTTTTAGGTTTAACAATATTAAGAAGTAGTAATTTTTTTTATGTTGTGGGCCTTAAGAAGTTTTTTGCTTTCATGATTTTTTAAAAAAAGGATGGATGGTTTACCTTTTCAAAAGATCAGCATAGTCATTATTATCATATTTGACATTGTTTATTTATTAATAGTTAGACTAGATATATCTAAGAAGCCACTATACAACTATTATCATCTGAACTCCCAAGGAGTTGACTCCACTGTATCCAGTTATATGGTGGCCAATGCCAGTATAGAATTCTACAAGTGTTATACTGATATCTGAAATATCTAATAAAATAACATATGACAATCAGGAATTCTAGTTACTCCTGCAAACAGAGCTAATGTCAACAACGAAAGTTTCTCATTCATTTCTCGACAATATAGATCCATATGCATAGTTTAGGTAACAACATCTTTAAAAAATTCCAATCCAACTCTATTTATTGGATATTTTTGCCACACTTAAAAAATGAATATGCCAAACTCTTTATGTAACTTGGAAGCCAACCTGTGAAAAGTGGCTATAGCACCTTCATACATAAAAAAACCAACTCTCTCCTACTTCATTTTTCACTTGCCATATATTAAGCCAAAGCTAAAAAGCAAGCGTATAAATCCTAGTTATGACTTGAAGGCCAACCTGTATATTTGGCTATAATGCTTTCATGTGACTAGGTACTACACAAATATGCCAAGTTCAGGCTAACTACTATTTAAGAGCTTATAGGATTTTCATCATTTTTTTCTATTGCTTGGGTGGTTAGTTAAACTAAGATAGAATGACCAATTTTTTGTATTACACATTAAACTCTTCTTAGCAAAGAAAAATGTAGTTCAACCTTCTGTAATTATAATATTGCTTTTCAATAATCTCTTATAAATAAAAGAAAAGATTGACATTATCTTAGTTTTAAAAAAAAAAATTATATTGTTATAAAAAATATCATTATAAAGAGATTTGATTATATTAAATTTTTTTTTTTTTTTACAAGTAAATATCATTTCTTTATTTGGTTTGTATATAACAAGATATATATTATAAAAGAAACAACATTTCTCATATGTTAATACAATGAGTTAAATATTAGTTTACCTATAGTAATCATATAATTAATATTGAAAAAAAAGTTTAAAACAATATATTTTATTATATGGTACTGAACAGCTATGAATATCTATTCAATATTAGGAAGAATAATACTTGATAAAGATAAAATTAAAATTTGAATATATTTGAAAGAATTATAATTATATTAAATAAAAAAGTTAGTGACTATTGTAGAAAAATCAATAATGATTTTATTTTGAGTAATATTAGAGTTTGAGTTTTCTATAAAATCAATATAGTTTCTTTTTGATCTGATTGGATTGATGGTATTTGATGGTTTATTTAAGTTCTACTTAATATTAGTAAAAAGTAATATATTAACAGTATTGCAGTATAGTTTTCAAATTAAATTATACAATTGAGTTAAGGATTCTGTTGATATCTTGATTCAATTGGTAATATCTGTTATGAAAAAGATTTTATTAGTTATTTCATATAACAATTCTACTACTTGCCATATATAGGAAATTAATCTGAGATTGTTATTTAGATGAAGGATTTGATTAATGTTATTTATAATTTGATTGGTTTTTTATAAGACTTCAGGATATTTGAGGACATTAAATATTTTTAGTATAAAACCCATATCTTGGATAGTATTGTTACAATGAAATACAACGAATCTGTTACTTCTATTCTGTCTATACTGTACTATGTTGGAGAATAGTTTCTCCTCAAAAGAGATATATATATTTGGCTCGAGTTTAACAATGATGCAGGTCGATCCGTCGATCATGCGTCGTAACTGCCAACCTCCTGCGTGGTTACTCCTTTGTTTAGTGACACTCTCAAGATAGATAGCCTTTTTAGTG